AGGCATCCTCGTCGCTGCTCTCGACATGACTTACCACGACTTTCCCAAGGAGACATTGTCAATTCAAAGATGGGACAAGTGGCTCAATAGATCGTACAACAAAGGTATCTGTCCTGTGTTGGAGTCGCGTGTCTCGAGCTTTGGGCATGAGATGAAATCCGGGCGAACGAACGAGAGTGGTTTCGGGATTTCAGCCCTGGAACTTGAATTGGAATGGAACGGCGAGCATTATCTGTCATTGTTGGTTCGCTTCAAAGAAATGGAGGAGGGTTTGGCCCTTCCCGCACAGAGCGTTCTACGAGTTCTGTGAGTTCACCCCTTCGTCGTATTTGCGGTGAATACTGATCCACTGTGAAGGAAAAGAGAGGAAGGCAAAATAATCTAAAGAACGCATGCCGAAAGACATCCAGTTACCCCACAGCAGTACTATCTCAACATCTACTTTGCATCATGTACCGATCACCTCTTCGAAATTCAGTTTCCCCAACCCTCAATATTTTATTCAGTCTCGTTGCCTTATCCATTACGTAGGCCATTATTTCGCTCGAGAGCGAGACGAGGACATGAGGTGTATCACGACATTGCCATGTGTTGAACATGACAGAGACGAATCTGGAACCCATTAGTTCTGGATAGTGAGGAGAGGAGAATTTTAAGATATAAATACCAGACCGATAGCAAAGGTCAGGAGGTATGTACGCTGGCTTGTGTAAAGACAAGCTTCGATGGACGTGTTTTCCATCGAGATTCGACAGAAGGGCGAGTGGGAGTGCGCGTGGCGTACGCCTCGTGTAGCAGCTAACTTAGCTTGCGTTGTCTTGGCAGCCCATGCTTAACAAAACACCAATTAAAAATCGATCCAAGAGTTACTGGATCAAAGCATCACAGTGAAAAACAATCGATGGTGTAAAGGTTTTATAGCCACCAGCGGGCGAACCTGCATGCGTGACTGGGACTTTCATTACAATGTTAATGTTCGGCCTTCCGTTTCGGCCACGGATCCCTTTGTTTTTATGACTCGGAAGTCAGAACTTTCTCCTCATCGGCATCGATCATCATTGCTATTAACTTAGTACCATGAACTGCAAAGCGTGAGCTGAGTATGTATTCGAATCGACGGCGCGTGCGTCTGCGCCAGAATGACCAAGAGTCGCGGTAGAGAAGAGAGTGATTGAAGCGACAATGTAGGTGAGCCTCTTGCTAAAATGTATGAACTGCTTCGACGATGAATGTTGGCCACCGCTTTTACAGCAAGAGAAAGTCAGTCATGAGCAGAAGCAGATTTTGAATCGACGGCCAAGTCATTTGGAGGGTAATGAGGTGAACAAGGATGATTTACAGGGGTTGGAAAAGTTGCGTGCCTAGCTCGGCGTAGTCCATACTGGGATACAGCATCACATATCACGTCGACATTTTATCTTCTCCCGCCTTTCCACCCACCTTGCCATGTTAGACTTGGAACTGGATATCCGGTATCCCTCCTTCTCTAACTCATTCAAATTTTATGTCCGAGTCAGCTATGGAGTCCGAGCGTTCTTTGAAAGGCATAGAAGGGCAACGTACAGGCTCGGAAAGTGTCTGAACGTGCTTCATTTCTCAAGAGCTCCCTCCCAGCCTGAGCAACCGCAGGCCGTTGAGAGAGACTTGTAGTCGTCGATGACTGGATCCCAGTCCCCTTCCGACCAAACAGGTTGTTTCGCCCGTATAGACCACGCCTTGTCCAACCAAGATTTCCTCGAGAAGCCAGAGACCTCCAGGTTCAGCGCTTCCAGCTGAGCAAGCATCTGGACGCTGTATGTGGACGCCCAGTGCTCAACCTGATAGCCATATTCATCCTCCCATGAGTCGCCGGTGGCCAAGTTTGATTGGAAGAGAATGATGACCCGGATCTTGTGGCTCCCTGCCACAAACGATGGCATTGTGACATGCATTCTGTGGCTGAGTGCCATTGTCAGCCACATGAGTACCGTCGGGAGGCCCTTGTATGAAGCACTCGGCATGACGAGTTCGACCAGCTCAAGCTGGATCAGGGGCTTCATCGATGGGCGATCGACCGGTGCGCCATTGACGGTAGCGGGTCCTAGATGCAAGCAGCGAAGATTGGTGAGTAGACTTGAGGCATTGGTGTAAAATAGGATGTTGCGGAAGAGTTGAAAGTTGAGTTGGGCGTGGGTGACGGAGTTAAGGTCGAATGATTTTCTGTTGCTCATGAACATCGATCGCCACGAGTCCAGATCAAGAATTCCTGAAAGTCTCAGAATTTCCAGGCGAGCAACGCCATCGGGATTTGAAGTTGCAAGTGGTGGGTCAACGTAGCTCTGCAGCGGGAGAAGGGCAAGCCGTTTGAGGCTCCTGGACGACAGGCGGACCACCATGTCGGCAGAGATTTTGTCCGCTTTCCAAAGGAACGACTCCAATGATTTTAATTCTTTGATTGCTTTTGGCAAGACGGTCTTCATAGGCTCTGCTAACATCTCCCGAGCGCCATTGACCAGGTCGAGCTTTGTTAAGTTTTTGAAGTCACTGGAGAGAAGAACCTTCCAGGCATCCAACCTTGGTTTCGAACCCTCCTTCAAGCTAATTCTTTGTCTGGAATGAAAGCTGGGGAGAATAATTCGCAAGTCCCGAACGACGGCCCCAACCCTTGGTGAGCGGGATGCCAGAACGGCAAACGCTTCTGGATTGGTCACCAATCCCATAGCGAAGGGTGTAAAACGCCTTTCACGTCTATACAAAGTAATCCTCCGGTACAGGAATGGGCGACAATAGCTCTCTAGCGCTTTGCACGTACGGGAGAGGCCAAGGAGTCCAAAATGACCGCTATCCCTCCGCAGCGTCTCCCAATGGTCGTCGATGATTTTATACAGGATCTGTAGCGGTAAACGGGGTTGGAAGTTGGTTATTTCATGGCGACGATTAAAGCTTCGATTAAGCATTGGTGGTAATTTATAGTGCCCAGTAGTATGCCGCTGTAGGATTATGTGGAAAGGAGACCAGAGATTGGTTCTGATAGAGTTGAATCGTACAGCCCAGTGCGAATCGAATTGAAGATTTCTATCAAGAGGCAGAACAAGATATCATCAAAGCCCCATCTGTTGAGCTATGAGACAACCACAGCTCTTACCTGGCCAATACCAGCGGTGGTCACAGTATTCGTCGGAAGTGAAACGAATCAACCCGTAGCCAAGACTTCGAGTGCTTCTGAATGCGGGGCAAAGGCGCACGAAAGGTCAATCAATACCGACATATCGGGCTGTTCCCATCCTTCGAGTATAGTCGTTCAAGAGTGGACAGATTCGTTGATCATCGGACAACGAATGGAGATAAGATCGATCTCATCTTATCATCCTGGCGATTTATTGACTCTGATACTCGCCCTACCCAAGGCTTCTCGATCCAAGCTACGGATCTCTTCAAGTTTCCTGTTCTATTATGGTTTATTCTTATAAAGGCCTACGTATCCGTATGCTTCACAATAGGAGAGAGGCAAGTATCCCATCTCTTTCGCGGCTCCACCGCATTCGAATCATATAGGCGACGGATTCCGCGGTCTGAAGTACCCACAGGGGAATCATATAACATATAAGCGCGACACTCGTATTTCATCGCTCTGCGATTAAAATTCGCTCTCATCTGAATGTGAGATATCGAGAGAGCGTCTGGGACAACGCGTTTCCGCGAGAACATAAAGCGAAGACGCATTAACAAAAATAGATAATCTCGCCGCGTCATAGACACCAATAGGGATCGAACCCCAGCATCACCAAAAGGCGGGAAACATTTTCGTGCATTTTGGCACATTGTGAGCTTCTCGCCGCATTGTCATACGAGCGCATCATTGGAAGGCTGCACTGCGGATCAAAATGCGGGGCCCGCATTTAGAAGTCGCTTGGCGCATTGCGAAGTGCGAAAATGCACTAAAATATCGTCAAGCCTGTACGGTCCCATATCTCTCACCATCCCTGGATTATTATACGAGGGTTTGGATTTTCTACAACGCATACAAGGCTTTCTAGCATCATCACAATACATGTTACACGGCGTTCGACGAGGCGACAGGCAGGAGAGAAGCCTCGGGGAGGACGCGCATCACCGATGTCACGCGTCATCCCGACGCCGCATTTCTAGGCACCGATGGGCATTGTAGACGTAAAATCGACATTTTAATTTATCCTCTACCTGACAATGCAAACATGCCCTTGCAATGTGCCAAAATGCACTAAAATGTTGCCCGCCTTTTGGTGATGAGCAAGCTGAAGGACTGTGAGAGCGACTCTGACGATACATTGATTCATGGACACTCCGCTGCATTATCACTTTGGCTACAGTGTCATTTTATTCAAATGAGGCCCAAGGCTCACATAGGTAAAAGCTCGTGTTTAGGAATAAGAAAATGGATATAATAAAAACAAAAACCAACATGTTCTGGTATTGGGACGACACCAGTAGGATTCGAACCTACAAGAACGAAGGAAGTATTGACAGAGATCAAGAGTCAAGACAGTCGCTTTCGTTGTCTTAGCCGTTACGCCATGGTATCTTCTGTGAAACCAAACGTAATTTTATCAATGCTCATCGAAGATCGAGGGATGTATAGATAGCGTGCCTCGTGCAACGTATCTCGTTTCGTCTCTTCCCTCTCAACTAACGGCTCGACGGTCCTTGGGGAAATACCAGCGCAAGTTAAATCTACATGAGCAACTGAAGTCACTCTTTTTTAAAAAAGAATGGGCATCTTTAACCTGCCTTGCGAATTCGAGCATGGTTTAGTTCCAGTCCGGACATGTACCTTGACATCAATTAGAATTGAATGGGCTCGCCTCGTGGTCACCACGTGCTTCACCTATAGATTTCTGACACAAACTACTGGGTCATTGTTCTTGTGACTAATATTGCTCAACGTAATTTGAAATCACTCAAAACTACGTTGGACATGCGAACTTCAAGATCTTGGACAAGAGCAAGGGTCACCTCAAAAGATGTTGAAAAATGAAGGCCAGCGACACCAGCAGGATTCGAACCTGCATGAACGAGTGAGATGCCTGAAAACTTGACATGTGTCCTCGTTGCCTTGACCATTCGGCTATGGTGTCGACTGCGAAGCCGTGAAGGGTGGGTGGAAACAATGTGAAAGCGTAACGAGTGACGATAAGGTCCAACTGGCGATCTTATCAAATACTTACCCTTGTTTGGCCTTGGAAGGCATTACACAAGCAGTGATCTCATAAACGCGCATTGGAGGAATGTTCGTGATGAGGCTGTAAAATTGCTAGCATCAATTGACCGTTTCGGCTTGTCTCGTACCCACGCCGTTCTGGAAAAGGAAAGACTGAATAAATTCCCGCGCCAAGCCGCTACGTCGTTCCCCCCGAACGTCTGGTGCACTTTGGGCCAAATCACTACATCTCGCCGGATGCCTTCAAATCCTCACAGCAATTTACCATCCTGCAGAGCGATATCTACACCAGAAATTTTTAACACTAGTTCTGTCAATCAATATTTACTCTCTTCAACATGCCTATGTTCCTCTGCCGGAAAAGTTCGACCTATATGCTGAGTCGGTGCAACCAGCCCAGATTCCGCGCGCGAAGAGTGTGCTGAAAAGCAGCAATTAAAATTGCTTAATTTTGTATTTTGGATGAAATTTTGATGTATCCTGAGAGCTTAGAAGGTTCTCTTTACGATTATGAATTTTTATTTTAGAGATTTCAAGTGGTAGCACCGAAATTGCTGAGATGTAGTGACCGCCTGTACGAAGTGCACCAGACGTTCGGGGGGAAACGACGTAGCGACTTGGCGCGGGAATTTATTCAGTCTTTCCTTTTCCAGAACGGCGGGGTACGAGACAACGTTTCGGCGTAAAGTCTGTCACTCAGTCGTAGAAGGACCATTCATTATGCAACTCCTTGACGGTGAAGTCCTTGAGCAACCTACATCACACGGACAAGGTAAATATTAAGATCCCTCTGCTTCTTTCACCACTATGCGGATGCTCAGTTGAATCGTCCTAAACGATAAATCGAGCGGGACAGCAGAGCGCCTGTCCGGGGACAAGAGAGCGTAGGGCGGTGCAGAAGCATGGCCAGAAGCATGGGCACTCACTGATTTGGAATCGAGAAAACCGATGAGTAGGATCGATCACCGAATCAGAATTTTGAATGTTCAATACAATTATAAAGCACTCTCCCGCCGTTCCATCGTCGTGGCTTCCGCTTGCGTTCGAAAATGCACCTTGAAGCTGATCAAGTCCCCTCATGGATCTAACTCACAAATTGGCTCAACCCACGCTTCAAATTGACGTCCGAAGCCATTCAGTAACGAAAAGTGGATCATGGAAAGGAAAGAAGGAAGAAAAAGTATATAGTATGTGTAGACTTTCCTGCAAGCAGATGAGATGCGGGCAACCATTCTAGGTAAAGCCGACTCCTGATGCATCGGCACACAGGGGCTTTTGATAAGCACAGACAAATATTGCGAATACCTTTTGGGTGACGTAATTCATTTAAGCCGTTCCTCATCCACTTTCATTCAGCCATCTGAGCGCTTCTCGCCAGATTCATGCAGAATACGATCAAGACAGTGTCGCAAGCTAAGGTTCAGCGCTCCAAGTAGTTACATCAAGATGAAGACTGCTGCTGACGTATCCTCTAGGTCCTGGAAGGGGTGAGGAGGGGCAACCTTGAAGACCTCCAAATTCTCGTGAAAGCCCTCAATGCGAGCAATTACTCGTTAGCGGCACTAGACGCTCTGCTTGAACTACTCTCAGACTTCGAGCCACAAAGCCCTGGGGGCTCAACATCAAGGGCTTACTTCGAGCCCAGGCTTGAGGCCCTCGTGTGCCTCCGCACTGCTCTGGAGGTGTGCAGCGAATTGGACGACGGCAATCATCTCAAAGACAAAACCGTTCAAAAAGTCTACGCATCGATTGATACAATCGTTACCGCCATCGGACTTGGCGTAACCGCTGCTCCACTGCTCTGGGAAGGTAAAGAACTCGGGGAATATCTCTATGTCGTCGCTTGTCTTATCCTGTGCTGTGTCCAACTGGATGACAGTATTGGGATGACCCTGTTGTCGTCTTCGAGCCTCGTCACACACATCTTTAAGATATGGTCATTCCCCCGCACCTACGATTCGGACCAGGTCTTCAACAGCTGGAGCTTCGGGGAAGGTTTCTGCGCTTTTCAGCACATCATGGACACGGTCATACGAGGCAGTATAAGCTTCAGAATACTCTGCAACATCCTTCGAGCCCCCAACGGCGATCTTGATCGTTTTTCAAGCGCTTTCTGCAGCCGAGTGAAGCTGCTAGAAGGTCCTACTGACACCCGTGGAATGTCACGTATTGATGCCCAACGCGCATACGCAGTTTTGTGGGGAAACATCGACATATTGAAGACGAATGACAGAATCTACGCCTCTCTGCGAGAAAGGGGGTATTTACGAAGCTTCGCAGCGGCCACGGAGGCCATGAGCCACTCCACCCTATCCAAAGACGACACTCTTTCACACGTCGCAAGATTGGTCGAGCATGCCACCGAAACAACAATGGGAAACCCCGTCTGTGCGATGGAATCAATTTTCGAGTGTAAATTGCTCCCTATTTTGCTGGACGCCTTAATCGAATGCGGACCAACCCTCAAGGCTACCACGGGGAAAGATATTCTGCACCGCCTAGCAGCCTACAGCTATCACCCTCGCGTATTGCGCTTGTTTGGTTCAGCTCTGCCCACGTTACCGCCAGACCGTGTAAGACGTGCTCGGAGGTCAAACGTCTTGGGCCAGACCTGGAGTAACTTTGTTGACGGAATGGAAGGAATGTTTCCCAGTCTTGCAGCTCAGACTTCACGAAAGCGCTCAGCGATCTGTGATAATGATATCAAGGTAAGCGCACAACCACAGCGAGACGGGGGTATTTACACCTTTCCTAGCACGCGGCTGCTTCTTGGGCAGGAAAGACTTGTTCGGGATGTCATCTCGTCGTCTATTGCTCTTCGGCCTGCCAGACACAAGACTGGGACAAAAGACATCGCGGGGAGTGCCCTGTAATGAAGGAGACATATGAACGTATGTGAGCGTATATCAGGGATTGGAAAAGAACGTATTTGACTCATGGTTACAGGCCGCAAGTCGGAAGGCTTCAGATATGGGCACGCCTCTCGTTTGTTTCATCTTGGGGTTGCCAAACACGTGTTCACGCAAAACACTGATGAAATCAACAATCATCTTCTATTAACCTCGACTGGCCGACCAGACAGAGACTCAGTGGTCGTTATCGACGCTCGATCATGCGCTGATGCTGCCATTCGGCTCAGTCTAAAGCCACTACCAACATACCTTGAGGACGTGCCAGCAGGAGACTGCACGGCCTTCGATTCCAGATTAAATGCCCTCATCACTAGGTTCAGGTCGGCCCCCAATCTCAGATCTCGACTCGTCGAGATGCAGATTGCTTGGGATATTAGACGGGGGATCAACCTAGTTGCAGAAATAAGGAAGGAGAATCGCAAATGGAAATTGGGCTACAGTGTCGTCTGGTTTGGGTGCGTATCTTCTTTCTCCTCGATTTCGCCGCTCATATTGTCTCTAGAAACCCTCCGGAAATGCGATTGGCAATTGGCCAAGGCTGAATCACGGATTTATAGATGATTTAACGGAAATATCTGGTAGCCATGTAACCAAGTTGTTTATGAAACTCTCGCCGCCCTCCTCATTCCTGGTATCCTTCTCGTCGTTAATTCAAGTCGAAGGAATAAACCCTGGGTAATAGGTCACCTCTCATCGTCGTTTCACCAGCCCTAACTCCACCTCGAATCCATAGAACGTCAACTCCAAGATCACGTTCTCGCAATTCAGATACCATCCCCTCCTTCGTCCAGTATCTGGATCCTTGAATACAACAACCTCCCACCCCTTCCTTTGGGGTGCCACTCACGAAGCGATGTTTTTGGGAGGTCCAGGGGATGACATGCACTGGGTTTGGATGCACAGCAATGGCTTGCTATATTAACTCGAAACCATCTACGCCTATCTTATCGTACATTATCTCACGATCCCTGTCACAGGGCACTGTTGAATCGCCTCGCGATGACCACGAGGCCTTGCCTCATTGGTATTATCCTTTTAGGTGCACTACGGTTTTGGATATTGATCAATTGCAATAGGTTAGACGTGGCTGAAGGAGCCAATCTTTCAACGGCTAATACTCCATGATTGCAACACCCGCACACCACATATCATGGCGAACGCCGGACCGAGATAATTCCTCATTCCAGAAAGCTAATGCATGCTCGTGCGCCAACAGAACTGGATATACTATTTCATTTGACCAGAATACTTGCATTCGAGAACCTCCCACACTCCTTTCAGCGCTCCGTTCGAGTGAAATTACGGTCGCTTCCCCTTGTTGGATGGAAGAGTGTTGAAGGATGAGTACGTGTTCAAGTGAAAGTTGGCTTTGGGTTGTCCTAGGGCCTGTATGAGGGCATGAGCGGCCGGTATTTAACAGTGAATGTCGGGGAGAGTGAGAAACGCACCAATAAGTTTACCGGATCATCCGACCGAAGCACGAGCAACGGCTCCAGATTGAATGGTAAGAGCAGGAGTCTATATGTTTCGAAAGGGGGGATAGCAGCCTCGGAGGATTGTTTGTGATGGAATCGGGTGCGCAGGCGCTAGGTGTACGATAACGAGGAGAGAAAAAGCAGAACGTGTTGGCTAATTCCAGCCCCTTCCAACCCACACGATCTGGGTCTGTAGTGACGGTGTCCCATGCCTCCAGATAGCGGTCAAAGGCATTTGGAGAATCGGTCTGAAGGAGGATGCAGATGGTGAGGGATGGTAGCCGCGCCACAGCTTGTGGTGTTATCTCCCCCAGCGATTCCAACGACGCTTCAAGCCAATCAAGTAAGGCTACCAGCTGAGCGTTGCGAGTAGTTCGCAGAGCTTCTGCCCAATAGCGTTCACCCAAGCGCTCGGCCACAAGCTCGATGTGCGTGAGGGCTTTCAATTGTGAGATATTCAGCACGTTGACCCCTGGGTTCCGCGACATGTGAATGTGGATGCATCGAAGATTCTGGGAGGAAAGGGAGTG